TCTAGAGCTTAGATTTTACTGCTATAGTAGGACTATAACCTGTATTATCAGTATTTACTGTACTTCAACCCACTACGGGTTTTTTCTGTCTGCTGAGAAAGAAAAAAAGGACACACACACACACACACACAGACATCCTGTAGATGAAAGAGAGGAAATAGCTTTGAATCTATCTCGATGGGAGATTTTTTCAAGGCATCGCGACATCAACGTCAAGTAGAGTAACCCGAAATGTGTGTCCTGTAAGAGGATTGAAGAGGGAGAGGAGTGGCAGAGGAGCCCAAGGATTCGTCATCGTTTAGCCCCGTTGACAATTTTATTTGCATACTTCTTGGCGCAGAGGGGTGACGACGAAACTGAGACTTATGACGCATGACGGATTGATTGCAACCGCCTCGAGTGCCTCACTCTCTCTCTCTCCTCCTCCTCTCACCCTGCTTTCTTTTCGTGAAATTTTCCTCACACATGTGGCATGTGCCACTCGAAGTGGCCGGAAATGCCCGCCGGCATATTGCCACAGTCACGAACGTTGCACTTGATGCGTTGACTTGGCTTAGCCGCTGACTTTCGGCCAAAAAATGCCTAGCGAAATTTTCCAATAATCCCGCCGGCCATTGCAGCCGCACGTACACATTTTCCCCAATTTCCCACTCTCTCTCTATATGCAAATAAATTATTTTTCCCCCAAAAATTGGACTCCAGTTCGAATTCGAATTCGGAACGAACAGAGTCGAGCCATGGCACAGCGCTTAAGTGTGCACTTAGCTGGGCCCACACTGCGTATGATAAATGTTAAAAGCAACAGCCAGGATCGCCATTCACTGGACCCCAGAGCCAGGCTTTTCGGGTTGTATATACCAATTTTTTGCTTGTATTTTGGGTAGAAGAAGGAGTAAGCTTGTGCCTCTTGTGCCCAGAGAGAGAGAGAGAGAGAGGGTAGAGCAACAGGTATGGGATAAATAAAATCGCTGGTAAGGCTCGGCGGTACCATAAAAGTTGGCACAAAAAAATATATATATATATGTGCAGGACGAAGGGGTTGGCCTACAATGTGTTTTTCAGCATTAAGGCCAAATGGCTGATGCCTCAATTGCATATTTTTATAGCCATGCAAAAATTTTCAAAAGTGTATTATCCCATTTATTTTATTATTCGGTATATATTCTTTTTTTCAAGCGAACACACGAAAAAAAACAAAGTTTAAAATATTAATTCGGTGCATAAATCTGATATAAGTAATCGTCGAGTTTTTCCCGCACTTTTTCATATATTACATAACGATTTTTTTGTGAGCTCTGCTCTGGAAAAAGGGTTTTATTTACGATTTCCGATTGAAGTTTGCCGGGCGAATAATTGCTGATCTTTGCCTTATTTTCCCCCTATGATTTAATATTACCCATATATAGATGGGCATTATTCGTTGATATATATTATTAAGGGGAAATGAAATTGTTTTCCATTCGCTTTAAGAAGTGAAATGTGATGATGCCTAAGCAACTGTCACTCAAATCAAGTTGCTTAAATGTCCGTCTCTACCCTCGAGTCCTGTCATCGCTTTCGTTATCCTGGCAATTGACAACTTAACGATGCCTCGGCAGCTCCTTGAATGGCATGCTCAAAACATTATCACGCACAGCGGGACCAGTCCCTCGATCCTTGGAGCTGTATAAAAAAAAGCATAAAAGGCCAGAAGACAAAGGACATGTGATGAGGGCCCCCCCCCACAAAAAAAAACAAAAAAAAACAAAAATGTATATGTGTTTAATAAAAGAATTATGAACTTCAATTACGCAGGGCGCAGAGCCTGAGATGCCGCAGCGAGTGCATAAAACGCTGAGCAAATAGCAGCAGCAGCAGCCAGGAGCAGCAAGGATAACAGGGCCATGTGTGGGTGGATGGGACGAGTGTTTGTGTTTGCATAACATAATTCGTTCTGGCAGAGTTGTAAAACCAAAACGAGGACGTGCCATGGCAGTTAAGCCAAACGTTGATACTGTACACAGGGTACACTGAGCTTACAGGAATAGTACCTTAGAATACTTTATTTTGTGGTAATAAGAAGGATAAACTAAGAGTACGTTTTTCGGTTTTGGGAATCAAAAGGAGTAGGTTAAATATTTATCTTAGTTATGACCATAGGTACCTCCCTCTCCTATAATCAGCTGACACCTATAGCTTCCTTGCTAGGTACTGTACCTGCGGTACATTTACCTAAAAGGCCACCATCACTGCCTTGTACAGATATGATACCATGGGTACTGCCATAGCAGTTAAGCCAAACGTTGATACTGTACACAGGGTACACTGAGCTTACAGGAATAGTACCTTAGAATACTTAATTTTGTGGTAATAAGAAGGATAAACTAAGAGTACGCTTACCGGTTTTGGGAATCAAAAGGAGTAGGTTAAATATTTATCTTAGTTATGACCATAGGTACCTCCCTCTCCTATAATCAGCTGACACCTATAGCTTCCTTGCTAGGTACTGTACCTGCGGTACATTTACCTAAAAGGCCACCATCACTGCCTTGTACAGATATGAAACCATGGGTATGAGACGTGCATGTGAATGGCGGCCATAAATCAGCCGACGACAACCAAGGGCAGCCAGGATCAGGCGAGCCCAGAGAAGTGAGAGTGTGTGACCAAAAGACAGGGACATGGGTAGAGCTGCAGAGGATGGTTCACCTTTAATTGGCTTGCAGCCACCGAAGCAGCAGCCTTGGGCACAAAACCAACCCCCCAACACCCAACAGTCGCCCCTTCAAAAAAAAAACCTCATCCCCTTACTCATCAGCATAATCGTTGGTGTAATCGTCGTGGAAAAACGCAAAAGCTCCCCTTGCATCCACGAATACCTAGGAAAGGTGCTCCGCCGCTGGCTAAGAGATCAGGGGATGCCAAAAATGGCACTTAACACTTTGCAAATGTCGCTGCCATGGCAGGAAGTCGGCCATTTTTATTCTCTCCACTTTGTTCCGTTACGTTTCGTTTCGTTTGGTTCCGTTTCCGCCTGGCGTCTGCCTCGTTTCATCCGTGTGTTTGCTTTGTCACGTTTTGCGATTGTAACCTCCCATTCCCGTCCGTGCAAAAGTTATGGCTACACCGGAAAAAGTAATTAAATGTGACCTGCTTGGCATTCATAGACAGAAGCCATGTGTGTGTGTTGGTTGGAGTTTATACTTTCAAATTGAGTGTGGCTTAGTGGTTTCTATCGGGGAGGATTTACAAGGAGACCAAGGTATTAGGGTAGAGCTCTTTTGCATTGACAAGTTTCCCCCATTTGAGTTGTTTACAATTAGCTAGAAATTCTTTCACTGTAGTTTTGACCCTTTTTTTCCCCTCTAACCCTCTGGTTTTTTTAACCTGAGATGTTTGAAATATGCTCTGGTGTTCCGAGGCTAATCTGCAGACAGTCAGCGCACACTCATGTCGCGATGTTGCAGGTTGCACATTGCACATTGCACGTTGCTAGCAGCTGGGTATTACTGTGGCCAGTTCAGTGCTTCAGAAAGAAGGAAAAGGACTGTGGGTCCAGAGGCGAAACTTATCTGGCCAACGGCACTCGCTTCGTCCTTAATTTGTTGTTTCGAAAGGAGGCTGGCAGTTATCGGCATCATCGCACCATCGCATCACCAAAATATTCGCTCCGCCGAATACAACATGTTATATAAACTGCTTACAGAACAGCAAACATGCTCCTGGGCATATAATATGGGCGTTTATCATTTAATTAATTGCCTTTCGGGGCAATTTTCATTAATTTTCGCCTTTCGCTGTTGTTTGCTCTCTCGGCTCTCGACTCCTCGCCTCGCTTTACTTTTTCTCCTTCTTTGTTGCACTTTCATTGGCTCGAAGGCGGGCGGGGAGACGCAACAGCTGTAAGCCAACCCAGCTCAGCCCTATGTGTGTGTGTGTGGGGTATTTACAGAGCAAACACTGGGAGAAAATAGGGTTACCAAAGTTACTTTATACTTCAGTACAAAACCTAGCAAACTTGGCTTGAAAATTGTAGTTCTTAAACATTGTTTTAAAGTGATTTAAGAAGGTACTAATGTCTAAAAGCTATTAGTAATCCTTTATCATCCTTATATTCATATTAATATATACTAAATTTAGTATAACTTTTTGAGCTGTGCATGTTTCTGGCATCCCACCGTCATATAAATATAGTATGTGTGTTATTTTTCCCCATCTGCCAGCCAGTGTGTAGAGGAAGGCGGCTTTCGATCGGCTCCAAATTGCCACTCGTTGTAAAGTGGCAATTAACGCCACATGACGCTGTCAACAAATGGCCCGGTCTAGGCAATACACACACACCCTGAAACACACACACCCTGTCTGTATGTGTGGCACTTACAACACTTGTTAAGCGCATTTTTCAATGACTCCTTCCCTCCAAGGGAGCTCGAAAAGGGCTCGATTCTTACTAATTTTTAAATTATTTCTTGAGATACGACAGCAACAGAGAAAGCCAGAGAGAGAGAAAGTCAAACAAAAGGAAAATGCAGTCCGAGGAAATGTCGCTTTCACCGCCTACTTAATGGCCACGCCCACCTGTCAACTCCGATAACATCAGAGCTCTGGGTTTTCGGGAAGGATAGCAACAAAGGGGGTCTTTGCAGGGTTTTGGACATTAGCCTGTCTGGGGCTGTCAGGACTTTTTGATTTCCAAAACCAACAGGTTCTGGGAAAGTCAGTTCTTTGGTAATTAATCAGACAAGAGTTTAAACCAAGGCAAGAGGCATAAGTAAGCCGAGAAATTCGCTGGATTTCACTGTCTATTTGCCAAAGAAATTGTTTTAAATTCAATAAATTACTATCCCTTACCTTTCCCTATTTACAACTAAACAATATCTACGCTTTCTATGTCTATATAGATACCTCCCTGTCCGACACGTTCCTGTCCATTATCTTACCCATTTAATCTCCACTCACTCATCTTTTTTGTACTCACAAATTTACCCTTACAACATTTTCTTTTTCTGCCCTGTTCACAGGAAGCAGCGAGGGCGCCTCGAAGCGCTTCTTTACGGACTTCCTGCAGGACTTACCGACGCCCGGAACTGGAGGACCAACATTCGACACGACCATCGGTACCAACATCACCGGTCTCGTCGGCAAGACGGTTCGCCTGACCTGCCGCGTCAAGAATTTGGGCAATCGCACGGTGAGTTTCCCAGGGGAAAATTTCGCGGCGCCTGTGCTACTTATAATTTCGAAAGTACTTGACCGAAAAGGAGCGGGAATGAAAAAGTAAAAGTTTTGCAAGCGCGCAAACTTGTCAAAAGGCGTTACGCTCGACAGGACGGTGATTGCCGCTGTTGCAGCTGTTGTTGCTGCTGCTGCTGCAGCTGCTGTTGCTGCTGTTATTGTTGTTGCTTCTGCTGCTGCTGTTGTTGCAGCTGTTGTTGCTGTTGCTTTTGCTGCTGCTTTTGCTGCTGCTTTTGCTGCTGCTCTTGTTGTTGCTGCTCTTGTTGTTGCTGCTGTTGCTGCTGCTGTTGCTCCTGTAGTTGTTACTGCTGCTGCTGTTGCTGTTGCTGCTGCTGCTGTTGCTGCTGCTGCTGCTGCAGCATTAAGTAGCAGCCAGCAGCCAGCTGTCGCCTGTCGTTTTCGGCTTGGATTTTAGCACCGCCCCCGCGGGGCTCAGTTAAAAGTTGTTTCCCCCACTTTTGGCCACGTCCGCCCTCCGCCCTCCGCCCCGCCGCGCTTTTCATTATGAAAATGCAGCTGCGTTGCGATGCGTTGCATTGCAATTGCAGTTGCAGTTGCAGCTGCCCCACTGCCGCTGCTGTTGCAGCTGTTAAACAATTAGCAAATTAAACTATGAACTCTAAACTTTTAGCTCTGCAACGGCAACGGCAACGGCAATCGGCAAACAATGCGAAAACAAAGCGTTGGGCACTGAGGAGGGGGTGGGCAGAGAGAGAGAGAGAGAGTTTGTACCGACTGCTTACACTGCGTATGAGTGACGCCATCGTCCTTTTTCCCCTCCCCCTCCAACATTTCGTTGCCAAGTTTTTCCTTGAGTTGAGTGTCGCTCGCGCGGCCATAAAACTTTCGAAAATTTTGTACGCTTTGCTGGCTTATTAGGTGAGTGGCAAGAGTCCTGCCATTGCGAGTTGTCCTGGTCCTGGTCCTGGTCCTGGTCCTGGTCCTGTGTTCCGTTTTAATTTTGGGCTTGACAACGTTTTTAACTGAATGCCTCGAAGCTGGTACTATCCTTCTTGAAGTCCTGGCATTTCTCTAGCGAGTTATGGCGTCGCGTCTCAAGGATCTCAATTAAGTACAGTGCCGCCTCGTTGGCTAATTATTGGTCAGGCATTTCCGGTTTGTGTTTGTTCTCTCGCAAAACTATCGGATTACGTCTTCCAGGAGCTTCCTGCTTCCCTTTTTATTCCATGGATGGCAATTGCTTCACAAGGATAACTTTTGCAGGCATTGTTCCCTCCCTCCCTCGAAGGATTAACAAGGCTTCTTTGCATTTTATGTGTTCTTATACGTTCCCAATTTGTATTGTTTGCTTTATTTTTTACGAGTTTTTCTAATAACTAAATCCCCTGCTGATGGTTACTTTATTATTATTCAGGGCCCCACAGTCTTAAGTTGAATTCATTTGCAAACTACTTGGCTTTACCTCTAGCTGACGTGCACATTTCCAGATTTCTCACCAGACTTATGGGCTTCTGTCCTTTAATATTGATATATATATATATAGAGATACGTGGCGGATCGAATTCCCAACGTGATATATGCATTCGCCCTGCGGTCTATTTTCGGTATACGGAGTGCGAAGTGTCTTGGTCATCGAAGCTGATGAGCTGGCTAAATGCTGTGTAATTAATCACAGGCCAAACCGGCTTGCCATTTATTACATCCGTTCCCCTTCTCCTTAACCGACGAGTTCATTTCCTCCCAAATGCCTTATTACTCACAAGATGTTAGTTCATGAATTATATCAGCACACAGGAGCCGCAGACCCAAGGAGCTGCCACTATTATTCTGAAGGAGAAATTGGGGTGCAGCCTGCACATGTCGCATCATTTTCCATGCGATTTAGCAATTTTCTAGAGGTTTTTTTATATGGAATTGTATTGGCTTTTAATTGAAATAATTGATGGAACCACTTAGAAGCTGTCAAAGGAGTTACTTGAGTTTAAATTAAAGAAAAGGAATATTTCACACCTTTCAAGTGATGAATTAATATCATTTGTTACTGTTACTCCTTAAAATAATCAATTTCAAGTTGTCAAATGTTTATTTCGAAACCATTTCCTGCACTTCTTTTCCTTTTTCCACTGACAAATACAATTTGTTGCGTGTGTGGAATGTTTATTAACAGAAAACCCTTCTCACTTAACTTTCGCTTAAAACCGACTGGCTTTTTGGGCGATGCGATTAAAGGATGTCATTTGTGTTGGCGACCGCAAGTCAAGGCTCCTGCGGCACCGCAGAATGTGAATGTGGATGCAGGTTGCCGCCAATTGAAAATGGTTCTGGGAAGGAGGAGGAGGATGCTAGGGGGTTTCCCCTTTTGCATATGTGTAGTTCATTAGGGTGTAATTGTGTCTCTGTGTGTGTGTGTGTGTGTGTGTGAGTGGGGGAGGGGAAGACAGGGTATTGCGCCAATTGAATTGTCAATGCCCTGAGTAACGACCGCAGCCACAACGAGCAGAGACAACGAACCAGCAGGGATAACTATGGAGGCCACAAAATGCAAACTACAGTGCAAGTAAATTGTTGCTTTAACACCAATATATCCTTAAAATTTGTTCTTGAATTTTAACCAACCTAAAATCTATCAAATACCTTGTTTATTAAGCTGTAAACACTTTTGTTTCTAAAATGTATCTTCTATGATATTAGTAAATATGACTTTCATCATTTCATTTCTTGCAGTTTAGTTTAGTATTGAAAGAGTCGATTCTCCTTTTCGAAAAGGGGCGCATACATATGTATAAGAAGTGACCTCTGGTCGGCTGCAATTGAAATTGTTGCGGTTGATTTTACAAGTAAATTGTCACTGCCAGGTCCTTGTCCCCAGGACCTCGTCCCGAATCGATCCTTTGGCCGCACCACAATTGGAAATGCAATTGAGCGGGTCCGGGTTTCGACTTCATCATCTGCCGGCCTACCTCGTCCCTCGTCCCATGTCCTTTCTTCCTTTCTTTTAAGCTCATCCAATCCTTGGCCTATTGTTTTGCGAAAGGGTAACCGCAGTTGAGAGTTGATCACCTGCCTCATCCCTCTTTGGAGGTTCCACCTGACCATCAGGTGTGTGTGTGTCTGCCAGGAGATATTTCTCAATTTTTGGCGCAATTGTTACACTGAGAAGATATTCCTGAATTTTAAATATATGAATCCTTGATGAATTGCTTATGAATTCTTAAGGAATCGTTGGTAAAAAGTTGTTGAAGACAGCCTGGGCTTTGTATGGACTTTCATCCAAGACTCATCAATTACTAGGTATAATTACAGGGTATTGAAGAATAGAAAAACATTAACATGAGATTCTAAGAAATTATCGAATTTTCTAGCGGTGCACCTCTCCCCCTTGGCCTTTTTCGAAAGCCTTTTCGCCATTTTCCTTCACTTTTCGGCGAAACTCAAAGCCGTTCTCCACGCACAGAAAAACATTTTAAAAAATTGTGTCTGTCTGTGTGTGCCACGCCCACACACTTTCCGCCTTTGACTGTCTGTTTGTTTGCTTGCTTAACGGCAAATGCAAAAGGCACAAAAAAAAGGAAAAGGAAAAAGGGGGGGGGGGGAAAGTGAAGGCAGACGTCCCTTTCACAGGACTAAAAGCAACTCGGCAAGCGAAGGAATAAGAAGCAAAAAGTTTCGGCTTTCGGTACTCAAAAAAAAAAAAAGAAAAGTTAAGGAATGTCAACCGAATTACCCCCCAAAATCTGTTTGTGCGCTTTCCCACTCCTTTTCCTCTTTTTTTATATATATTTTTTGTATTTTTTATTTTGCCAAAGGAAAAGTCGCCATAGTGCATTCATTAAATTAGTTTTAAGATAAAGAGATGCATTAAATAATCACTTTCTCATTGGAAGTTTCAGGCCTTGAAAAGACACGGGAAATTGGGAACTAAAATCTATAAATGATACCCTTGTATATAATATATTTCCATTAAAGAACTCTCTAAGAATTGTCCCATTTTCCTTTTATGTGTCATAAGTTTAGGCCTGTTTTTTGTTATTTTCTTTTTCCTGCCTTTGAAAGTCATATACATATATCTTAAGGTTTGGGGTTGGGGACTTGCTGACTGAAAGCAAATCAATCAAAGAAATGTTTAATATTTTTCGCTATACGCTTCACAGGATGCGCTGATATCAAAATCCAACCGAAGACAAGCGAAAAAGTACAAAAAATGCAAAAAAATACAAAAAATGAAAGTCAAAAAGCCGACCGACTGTCATGGCAGCCGGAAAAACGCTGGCAAACAGCAACAATTGTCTGCCTCTCTCTCTCTCTCTCTGTCAGCTGTCAATTTTCCAGCAACGACTTAGATGCGGGGAAATGCCAATTTTTGTTATGTTGTTAGAGGTGGAGACACAAAGAAAAACCAGCTAATGATCTCAAGTGTGCTTACCCTATCATACCATCGTGAATTCCTGAACCATCTCATGATTTACACCGGGAGAAAAAAAGAGTCATGAAGAAGTATACATTTTGTTAAGTAAAATGTTGAATTCTATAAAATATAAAGAAATTAGTGTGAAGTTTAGGGGAAGAAAAGTAAATTTTCCAAGGGTTTATCTGGAAAAATAATCATTAACGTTGTTTTCCATAGGTTTACATGGGGAAATAATCATTAACGTTTTGAAAATCTTGTTTCTGTTGTACATAATTATTCCCTCAGTGTTTTTGCCATTGAACAATAATTATAAAAATTGAAAAAAAATCAACTTTTCACGAGGGGGAAAGGAAATGTGAGGTGTGTTGCCAGGTGACACATAAGCAGGTAAGCGTGGCAACAACACTCCGTCCATCGTTTATCTTCGTCAGGGGGAAGGGCTTTGATTTACGTGCCCGGTGATTGCTTCACCGTATGTCTATATACCCTTAAATACCCCTTACCCCGAGAGGAAAAAAACCCCCTCCCGAATTCCCGCTAATGTGCCGTGTCAAAGGTCGAGGGCGCGGCCAGTGAGGCATTTAAAT